AATCTACTTCTAACATGGGTGGGTACGCTAAGTGCTGAGGAGAATGCAGCGCTGTTCCCTGAGGCGGGGAATCCGCTCTTGGAATCGGAAGAGAGTAGCGAGTTATATCTTACTCCTGAGATCCTAGCAGCTTTCAAGAAGGCGATGGGTGAAACTGGGATTACGATGACGTTTATCTCGGGGTCTTGGACGCCGGTTGAGAAGCTTCTGGAGATGGTTCCGTCGTCTCCGGATCTGAATACGTTCATCTTGGGTTCAGAGACTATCTACTCGCCGGCTTCGCTAACGGCGTTTACGGATGCGATTGTCGCGCTGATGGGACGGGTGAAGACGGGCAAGACGATGGTAGCGGCGAAGAGAGTGTACTTTGGTGTTGGAGGTAGCGTGGATGGCTTTAGGGAAGCATGTGCGCAGAGGGGATGTGTAGCGTACGAGATGGAATTTGAAGGATTGGGCGACGGGAGTGATGGAGGTGTAAGGAGATGTTTGGTTGAGGTGCAGATGTATTGAACTTTGTAAAAATAATGGTTCATTGCGGTCATGAGTTATGGATGAGATGGGTATCTAGGGATGTACCAAGTAGTAGAAGAATGAACCCAAAAGGAAAGTAAAGACAATCTTGTGAACGCCGTCAAAAAATATCCAAGTACTGATCCAAGTTTCTCCAAATCTGCCGGTGTCGAGACGATCTCACTACTTCGCCCTCACGGTGACTGTCGGTCCAGGCAGCTCCCTTCTACCCTCGCCTTCTTCGCCGCCACGCATAAGCCTCTTATACGTGTCCCCCTCAACCCTCATGTGCTCTCCACGACTGACCTGCAGCCTATCCACACCCTTCCCGATAGCATCGATATGGTACTCCAAAGGTAGATCACTTCTGTACCCCAACATCTCTGGCGCCGCAACTCCCTCACGCAAGTTCTCCAACTCGGCCTGGATCTCTTGCAGCTTCAGAAGTGTGCCAGATACATGATTTACCGCTCTCTTGCGATAGGCTCCGATGTTGGCAAGTAGATTAAGTGACTTGGTGTTGGCTTTTACATCCCCGCGGTTACCGCCGAGCTTCGTCCAAAGGCTTGAAAGAAGCTCCTCTTGTCTACCTGTTATCGTCTGGTCATCGCCTGTTGCAATTTCGTAGATGGTGCCTAGTCGCTCATCAAGGTTGTGCAGAACAAGAAGCAGAGCTTGAGCTGTTTCGATAAGACGTGTAATCTCGTCTTTGTTCTTGCTGACGTGTGAGACGTACTGGTCGAAGATGCGTTGTTGGAGCGTTGGCGGTGGCGCGACGAACGCACCCGTGACCTGGTTGATAACTCGGCCAACGGCGCCAATGGAAGCCTCTTTCTCCGAGATACCAGACAACACGTTCATGGTCCAGGTGTTTGTCGCAATTACACGGTCCATAGCTGCCCCTATGCGACTGTTGTAACGAGACAGATCGACGGAAGCCTCGTTGGCTGTTTGTACAAAGTACTCGAATTCATTGTCCAAGGCCTTGCGGCTCGGAAGACGAGAGTGCTTGACAAGAATACGCAAGTCGCGAATAGCAAGTTCGGAGTTCTTGATCGTGGCAGGCAGAGCAGAAGTGTCTTTCGATGCGTCTAGGATATCCTCGAATCGACTTTGAACATTGATGAGTTCCTCGAAGTCGGCCTGAGGTTCTGACGTGTCTAGCGTAGCGCATGCGGGGATGAGGTAGGAAGAGCCTGGTATCGCGCAAACAGGCCCCATTACAGCGTTCGATACTGTAGATCGTAGTATCCCGGATGCTAGCTGGATACCGAAGACTAGGATACCAACGCCGAGGGCGACCCCTAAGAACGGCTTGATGAAGTGTCGCATCGCGTAGGAGAAGATGTCTAGGAAGTGGGCGAGGAGTGGTGCGGCGACGTTATCCCAGAAGAGGTTCACGTAGTGCCATGGGCTCACTTCTTCCTGGTTTTGTTGCGGCGCTTGCGGGTATCCGCTGGCAGACCCTTTCGTGAAAGAGCTGCCTGGTGCAAGGGGCGAGTCTGATGGGCGGTTTTGGGTCGTGTTTCTTGCTCGGTTCCGCGGCTGGGATTTTGGACCTGGCGAGCCGCTGTAACCACTTGGCGAATTACTCATTGAAGGCATGATGAAGCTCGGCTCGGATGCGTCTGGTTTTGGTGTTCTGTCGGGTCCTATCCTTTGCGACTGGCTGGCTTTGGTCCGACTGGCTGGCTTCCTCACGGGTCGAGCCTGCGCTTGCGCCGTAGGTGTTGACTTGCTGAGGTGATTGCGCTTAGGTCTGGGTGTCACGGTCGTCCGTGGTTCTTGTACAGTTTCTTTGTCAGAGTCCTCTAATTCCAATTCGCTGGCTTCGTCGCTGGCCGAGTGAATGGAGCCTTCGTCACCGGATGCGTAGTCAGCGTCGCCCCAGCTACTTCCCAAGCTGTGTTCGAGTCGCCGTGAACGTGCGCTCATATTCCAAGTTGATGGTATTTAGGTCTGTGACGTAGGGCTGACGGATGAGTGGGTCAAGGTAAGAATGCAATACAGAGCAAGGGGTAGTTATAGATTTAGGCAGTGGTGTGTCTAGTGATGACCCAAACTGTCTCACTGACTGCCTTTGTGTCGTTGTAGGAGGCTGGGTAGAACAGGTTGCCACTTCCTACGTGTGACGTGGGGCCTGCCAATCAGGCTTCTGGCGCATACTGTGTCTTAGTGCGTCGCAGAGACATCAAGCACTTCTGTTGTTAGTGGAGTTCCAGAGCAATGGCCCTAGCACTGTACCTGTAGTACCTGACTGCGTTCGGGGCTCAAGTGGTGATGGCGTACAGACGCGTCGACGTCATGTTCGAGCTCGCGTGCGCCAAGACGACTAGTCCAGAAAGTGCATCCTGAACAGCACGCGAAGTTGGTGCAGGAGTCAAGACTTTCCGATGTCACTACGCCAGCTTTCCCTCGCGCTACGGACTGCAAGACGGGCGCAATTAGAACCAACGAGGTGGCGCCAACATGGACGTCTCTTCGCGCGCAGTTGCTCTTGTTCTGCGCCCCACCAGTTGCAGCACACGGTGATCGTCTCGTCTCAAGCACCCGCCAGTGCGCAATTGAACCCTACAGCCGGCACCCCGCCTACACCTCCTCTCGACCATCGAGCCCTCGCGCAAACACATAACCTCTTCATCACATCTCCGTATAGCCCCGGCTCGCCGCTCATCCTTCCCAACGGTGCCTATGTTTTCCAGAAGTTGCAGTCGTTCCTGCGAGCGCAATATCCGCAATTCGGCTTCCAAGAGGTCATCACGCCCATAATATACAAGAAGTCGCTATGGGAAAAGTCAGGGCACTGGGACAATTATGCCGAGGACATGTTCAGTGTGCAGGGAAGAGGGACAACGGCGCAAATACCTGAAGCAGAAGGCGGAGAGGACGGCGAGTTCGGTCTGAAGCCCATGAACTGCCCCGGCCACTGTTTGCTGTTCAGGGACGAGATCAAAAGTTACAGAGATCTCCCAGTCAGACTCGCCGACTTCAGCGCTCTGCACCGGAACGAGATCTCAGGAGCCTTGACAGGACTGACCAGAGTCAGGCGGTTTCACCAGGACGATGCGCACATTTTCTGTCGGCCAGACCAAATTCTGGCAGAGATTGAGCAGACGCTCAAGTTCGTGGGCATGGTGTATAACACGTTTGGACTGGGACCCTACAAGCTGCTTCTCTCGACTCGGCCCAAGGACAGCTTCATCGGCACCATCGAGGAGTGGGATCGCGCGGAGGAGCAGCTGACTACCGCGTTGAACAACATCGGAAGCGAATGGGCAATCAACGAGGGAGACGGAGCGTTCTATGGCCCAAAGATTGACATCATCTTGAAAGACTCGAACGGCAAGGAGCATCAGACGGCAACCATACAGCTCGACTTCCAGCTGCCGCAGCGCTTCGATCTGCAATACCAAGCATCACCGGAAGAATTGGAGGCAGGACCGCAGTCGTCTATGGATGCAGGACTGGATCCGGCTCTTCGCCGCCCAGTCATTGTACATCGCGCCATCTACGGTTCCATCGAGCGTTTCATGGCTCTATTGATTGAACACTACGCTGGCAAATACCCATTCTGGCTTTCGCCTCGACCGGCCATTGTCTTGTCGCTGAACTCAGACCCCAAAGTTCTTGAACACGTCTCGCGCATTCAATCTGTTCTTTCCGGTCTCACGCCTTCTGACGCACCAGCAACGTCTGCATCGTCGCCCAAGCCCCTACCGCTGTCGACTATACACCTGCCCATCGACGTCGATACAAGCGACCGCTCGCTCGGGAAGAAGATCGCTGAGGCAAGAACAAAGAGGTACAATCACATCATTGTGGTTGGCGGCAAAGAGGTTGAGAGTGGTAGCATGAATCTTCAGATCGTGAACCAGCCAAATGAGGAGTCCACTATAGAAGCGATGCAAGTTTTTTTGGGAAGGTCACTCACTGATAAAGAGAGATCAAAAGCCACCGTGAACGTCGACCTAGATGGCGCTAGGAAATACTTCGAGAACCTGGCCAATTCGTTCTTGTAATACAAAGTCGATTCGGATTCAAAACCTTGTCTATGTTCAATTGTGTGACAACGTGGTTGCCCAGTGTTTAGTCTCGCTGTTTGCTCTACCCGTTTTTACGATCCGTCATTACGTGCGGCCGATAACGACATTTCGCACGTTACTTCGAGAAAGGTTCCTGGTATGCTCAAAGAGAAAGTAGTATGGAGGATACAGGCTCTGCCAATGCTACTACACCCCGAAGGCTTGTCGACCGAATTGCGACATTTAAGTAGCAAGGTCTATCCGCAGTTATCAAGGGTGTCTCATGTCCTCAGAGTCGAATTACCGATTGGTGTTCTCGCTCTCACTCTCACTTTCACTTTCACACTCACTTCCCGAGCACCGCCAAGACAACTAGTACTTGCACGGGTACCTCAAAATTCTTCTCCATTGCTCACCGCGTCACCAATCCTTCAGCGACGTTTCTTGTTCACGACCCTATCTCACGCGATGGCGACCGAAGTGCCGTTCACCGCCGACGCCGTACGCAGTATAGAGCTAATTCCTTGTGCACATGCGCCCACCAAACCACCAGCGTGAGTCTGAAACAATTCCAGCCATGCGTTCTTGCTAACAATCTCAGCCACGTCTACGACAAGATCATTACCGTCGCGGTCGGACCGGACAATGCCAAGAAGAAGTTCAAGATCTATCGCGGGCTCCTGTGTCACTTCTCCAGCTACTTCGATCGCATGCTCAACGGTTCCTTCCGGGAAGGTGGCTCAACGTACCTTCGACTAAAGGATACCGACGCCGACACCTTCGACGTGTTCTTCTATTGGCTCAATTCTGGTGTTGTAGGTTTGGCGGACAACGGAGGCCTTCTGGACTGGGGGAAGGTAATGAAGGCCTACGTGTTCTCCGACTTTCATCAGGCGCCTATCTTCAAGAATGCTGTCTTGGAATCTCTATACACTCGTTGGCTGTCAGAGAATGTGGTCTCTGTCGATGTTACAGAATTCTTGTACACCAACACATCTGAAGGGGACAGTATGAGGAAGCTTATTGTCGATATAATGGCGGCATCGGGCAACTTCAGGGAATGTAAAAGACATCATCTCTTCGATTGCCACAAAGAGTTCCTCATAGATATCATTGTGGGATGTCGAGCTCGAGGCCTAGTCCCGGGTGACGGATCAAGGATCGATGCAGACACTTGGTTCGTCGACATGCGAACGAGCTTTTGCGAAAGATATCATGTACACAGTGAAAGGGATGCCATTTGAGGAGATGTCAATTCGTAAGTCTAGCTCTCGGATGTGGCAGCTCAGAGGCAGTCGCTAATCCGAGACGCAAGTGCACTTAGGAGACGGTGTGGCAAGGTTGTCATTTTACCTTTCAAGTTATGTGGGAGACTTTCGGTCAACAATGCAGGTGGATCCGTTGAGTCTTCTAAGATTGTTGAAGTTGTGTTCACTTTTATGCTAGGGCTACGTTCTTAGTACCCAAATGAAGTACATCTGAGACTATATGGTCCATTTTGACCGTACCCATGTCGCCCTTTCGTTATTGCGCTCCATGATTCTGCTACGGGGTAATCAGATGCTCATTAAATCAAAATCCAGCATATATACTAACTGTTGTGCTTCAATCCTCATCTAATGACTGACAAGTTTTACAGCTACTCATAGAGAAGAGGTGCATGTATACTGCTCAGGTTGGCTAGGTTAGCACAAACGTATCTTCACCTTCACTTTCACTTCGGCATCTCGGCTAGTGGAGTTTGCTGCCTACCAAGAGATACACAAACGTTTACACCTTGTGAGAACTTTATCAACAACATCTACACCTCCTTCAAGGAAACCAACTCCAACACTATTACGATGAGCCACCCATTAGCATGGTGCGCACACCCGTGGACCGCGCCTACCATCACCAACAAGCACGACACAGTCACGATCAACGTCGGCTCCGGCAGAAATATCCAGCAGTATGATCTACATGTCGAAGCACTCAGAGCGCGCTCGCGACACTTCCATGAGGCCCTTTCAGCCTCCTCAAACGAGGAGCGCACAGCGATCCACCTCGCGTGCTCTACGCCAATGCGATTCGACGTCTTCGCCAACTGGCTTTACAAAGGCAGCTTAGACTCCAGCAATGACACCGATTTGAGATACCTCTTCTTATGCGAACTACACGTATCTGCCGACACCTTCGATATCCCGCTTCTGCGCAACAAGATTGTGGATGTGTTCTTCAACAAGCTTTTGAGCGACGCCCAGCCACTGCCATACGACATCATGAAGTACATCGAGGAGCATCTGAGGGACTCTGCTTTGAGGACCATGATGCAAGACATCATGCTGAACTGCGGTGAGACGGAGGACATGGCCGAGTGGAAGGTCAACCTTGCGAAAGGCTTCAGGATGGAAGGTGGTAGAAACAAAGACGTCGCTGAGACAATTGGCAGGAGTTCAGATGTGAGAGAATACCTGCACGGCTTGAGGGGAAAGGTATGCGAGAGATACCACGACCATGTAGAGAGGGATGAAATAGTGGTGGGACGTGAGGGGATGTGGTTCTTCGATCCACCTCTTAACTAAGCGGTGAGCACTTTCATTTAGTATGAGGCGTCCGACATGTGGACGATAACGAGGTCAAAATGCAAACACTGGAATGTCGCAGTGAAATTTGATACATTCAGTTGTCATATTGTACATACAAACAAGGTGATTTAGCTGAACTCACCAGAACTTGGTTGTAACCTTATAACTCCTGACTCATTATATAGTGAGCTTCTGTCGGACTATGTATTTTGGTATGAAGGACTGTACTCGCAATGCATGTGCGGAGGTTGTGCATACCTGGGCAGTTCTTTCCAAAAATGCGCCAGCCTAACGCTAGTCTCCGTCCGGTAAGACCCTGATTTATCTGACTGACGTCATAAGCTCGCACAATGGAATCCGACTAAGGTCTCATCTCAAACCGACCTGCTCCAAAGATGATCCATGAACGTTCCCATAGCGCTTCTCAGCCTCTTCCGCTAACGATCGGGGTATATCCGCACAACCGCAGCCATGCAACACCGCGCAGCGCTTGGCCGCACCAAACAGAGTGTGGCGTACGAAATTCATTGTCGCCCAAAGCACTCCTTCCTGTTCGGTACTCGCTGATCGGGTATGGCGTCGTATTAGTTACGCAGGAAGGTGTTAGACAGCGATATAGGGTGAAGACAAGCGCAGCCAATCGCGTGTACGTCGGTATGTAACAAGACCGAAGAAGGGCGGTGATGAGTTCATGGAGTACACCGCAAACGGATTCTTCTGGTCCTTTTGTATCTCGAGACTGCTAAGACACATGTCGCAAAAAATAACTTATTGACAGCATCGCCGCCTTCAACGGAGATTGAAGCGTACCTTATCTAGCACGCGGCTGATGGGCACAGGCTTCTCGTGCACAAAGGAAACCTCGGAATCGGTACGTTCGTCCACGAGAGAAGCTCGAGATGCCGGTGGCGATATCTCCGGATCAGCCGAACGCATCGTCAGCCATTGAGTGACAAGCATACCGAAACAGACTGAACTATGCATCAGCGTTTGTTGACCACAAAGGGCGCATTGTGAACTTACTATCAGCGAGACACATGAGCAGACAAGCGTGGCTCATCTTCGCAAAATTCCAGGCAAGGAACAGGCTATTGTTGCACAAAGTGACAAACAACATGAAGCTCGAGCCAACAACATTTCGAACCAGCATGACTCGCAAGTTGTTCCGAGAAGAGACGGCCCGCCGTGTTCCTTTCATCCAAAGTCGGATTCTCTGCATTGAAGAGTCGCTTGATGCACCAGCAGTGTCGCTTGCGAAACTGAATATCCTAGGTGCCGATGAGCCCAGTGCTGGTCGAAGCTGCCAGACGAAGATTCCCGTGAGAACAGTGTTCATCAGGATGTCCAGCACGATGATCGCAATCGTAGCCGGTCGCTCGATGCCTATCCTGCATTCGCCTGTCTGGTGGTTCAAGATAGCCATTGGGTTGACAAACTGCCATCCCATGATCGCGAGGAAACCACCCGTGACAAAGATCCCTCCGAAAACATACAGCATATCCCTTGTGCGATCCACAAAGGGAGCTCGTACGATATGAACGCGCTCCAGCAAGAAGAGATATCTGTATGTGGTTCAGCATCCGGATTTGGGTGAGCGTCATGCACGAGTAAACACTTACAGTGCTATCTTGTCCGCGCTATACATGGCGATGCAGACTCGTATGGCAGCATGACATTGAGCATCCGTTTGCAGACCCAGTCCAGCTATCTGTATGGCGGTGGCAAATAGAAAGGCCGAGCAGATGAAGCCTTGCGCGAACACGAGTACATCCGACACCCGAGTTTTGGACTTCTGGCCAGCCATGCGGCCTGCTCGATATCCTACAAAGCAGTTAGCAAACATTCTGAGTGACCTCTGGATACAAAGTGGTCAACATAAAATTCGAATGCACTTACCTTGGGCCAACGCGAGAACAAATGCAAACAGTATGCATATGATAATCACTGCCACGCGATGTGGTGGCAGCTCGTCCAAGTTGACATGTTTGTGGCTTTCGTCCCGAGTAACAAGGAAAAGCGGAGACATTGGCTGCGCAGCCACACCAGCGATGGAGATTTGCGCAAAGGCAAATAATATCGCAAAGGTAGAAGATCGCATCAACGCTGCCAAGGTGTCCATTGAGACATGGGGAGTGGTCTCACGACATATAGGTTCACGAAGCGAGCTCTGATCAAGTGTTCAAACTAATTTGCGTATTACGCCGTGGCAAGACTTCTCACTCAACGTCAATCAATCACAACACGGTATATCCTCGATCTATCGGATCGTAGGGCAATATGTCAAGGGCTAGCGCATCAGTGGACGAGTCACCGCTAAAGCTTACTTCAACGGTTCCGACGAGGGGGAGCTGGAGACAACTCCGTAGCGCCGAGCAAGCACCCCGTAGCGAGCCTTCCACGCGCTATGGTGCGGAGACGTTGCGCTACAGCCCTACTACTAGACACCGTTGGGCTCTAGAAGTCTTGATCAGCTGGAGAGTTTTGACCGCTGCTTCATGAGATGCAGAAGTCGCTTCAGCCACATGTTTGCGCCTCCAAAACGACGACCGTGAAGGCTCTGTTTTCCAAATACCATGGTGGCATCTGAACGAGGCTATGCGCGTAAGCTTACGGCGACGAGCTCCGGAGATTCCAAGAGGCTTGGATCTCGGGTTGGGAAAAGGACCGGATGCCGCACGCCCCGGGCTTATCATCCAGGGCTGATACAGAGAGAACCTTGGAATCTTGGAAACCTTCGGGACACGCCCTTATCTCTGGACCCTCATAATGTCCAGCAGCCATGTCATCCCGTAGTGGTAGCCTTCGTCATCGTTGGTTTCCGCTAAGTTCCTTCACATGTTATGGCTGTCGTTCCGACTCCACCTTGGCTATGTCACGATGCAGAACAGACATCGTGTAGTGCATGTTCTCCTAGGTCGCTCCACTCGTTTTGCTTCCCAATAGTCTAACTAATCAAGTGTTTGCGAACTGCAATAGGGTTTCGGCCTTCTTTTTGGGCGTCCTCGGACGAAGACGACTGGGATATCTGGAAGCCGTCAGAGGTGAGTGAAGGGTCTACCATGCACCCCTCAAGTATGTACTTTCTGTAAATTAAATCAAACGTCCAAGCCCTTTTAATGGCCCTGGGCAGAGACATGTAATCTTGCCAAGGGTACTAATTAGGAACGACAAGCCCAGTCTTCCCTATCAGCCGTACCCTTCACTCCGCTGGGAATTTCCCTACGCAATACCTATATCCATTCAAATGTTGTCCCACAGATAATAAGTCTGACAAACATCTGTGGCAATCACCATGTATCCTTCGACCGTGGCCGCCGCCTTTGTTACTTATTTGACAAAGACAAATGGGTGGTGATCATCTGTGACTGAAAGTCGTCTCCGTGGCTGGCACGCGATGTACTGAGCAAGGTAGTATGGTCGGTAGACGAGAGTAGAACGTAGATACAGCAGAGCGAAAAGCAGCAAGTGTCACGTAGCATACCGTTATGTGTTAGCACGGAGGGCAGGTGAATATGCGTACAAGGGTTAGTGTTTGTTTGGTCTATGTAGAGTACCTTGCTGTACATGGTCGCGCTTCGCTTGGAACGTAACTGCAAGTGCATACCCGTGGGCTGCCTCTCCACTACCCTAACAAAACTTCTCCATCGTTCATGAGCTCAAATCAGACTCGTAGCCTTCCCTACCGATAGCCATTGGCTCGATCGATGTCCGAATCCGTCAGTCGTCCTTACAAGAATCGGGTATGTTGGGCAATGCTGAGATGTCATTGTGCCAACAGGCGAATGGAAAGACGCTCGCTCACTCGGTCTACCAGCCAGAAGAAGTATTGGCATCGGCAGCTGCGGTGGTGTCGTCAGCCCAGTTGCCGCTCGACTCAACCGGAGTATCACCCCAACCGCCAGCCGCAGCGGTCGAGCCACCGGCATCGCCCCAGTCACCGCCAGCAGCCTCAGCAGGAGGCTCAGGGCAACGCTTCTCGCCATGACCGAAGTTGTTGCAGTTGCGGCACTTAACGCGAGACCAGTCACGAGGCTTGGGGCACTCGCGAGAAGCATGACCTTCCTCGTCGCAGTTACGGCACTTCATGACACGAGGCTTGTCGCACTCGCGCGACATATGACCCTCATCTCCGCAGTTGTGGCATGCGCGACCAGGACCACCGGCCATGGGCTTACGAGGCTGAGTGCACTCCGTCTTGCGATGTCTGACAAATGTTAGCTTGACAATCCAAAATGATCGACAAGAGTTCGACTTACCCAGTCTCGCCGCAGTTGAAGCAGGCTTGACCACCAGAGCCCTGAGGACAATCGCGCTTCTGGTGGCCCGTCATACCACAGCCGAAGCAGGCACGGTCGCCGCCACCGCCACCTCCACCAGAGGGGCAGTCACGCTTCTGATGGCCAGTCTGACCACAGCCAAAGCAGGCCCGATCGCCGCCACCGCCGCCGTTGTTGGTGTTGTAGCTGGTAGTGTTTGCAGTAGAGAAACCGCCCGCAGAGCCCCAGCCGTCATTGGCAGTAGTCGTAGCGCCGCCGAAGGTGTCACCACCAGAGCCGAACTCGTTGTTGGCGTCAGCAAACTCGTTGGTGCCGCTGAACTCGTTGCCACCACCGAAGCTTGTAGCGTCACCGCCGAAAGTACCAGCTGGGTTCTTGGCCTTCTCTAACTCTTCGCGCTCTTTGGCTTCGGCCTCCCGGTGCTTCTTGGAGTTCTTGTGTCCGTTCCAATCCTTTGTGAGGATCTCGCGGTCGCAGAGCTCGCAAACGGAGATACGAGCAACATGCTCCTTGGCCTTGGGGTATGGGTTGGAGACCATGGTCGAATACAGGTTAGCCGGACCACGAGCCATGATGAGGACTGTGGAGGATGTGAGAGAGGTGAACTAGACACAGTTCGTCAGCTTTTTGCACTCCAGAGACGGCAGCAGTGCAGTGAAGCGCGACAGACGTCGGTCGAGCGCCCAAAGAACCCAGGCTGGAAGCAGCTTGGAGCTCGCGGTCTGCGCGCGACGCGTTCAAAACTGAGTGTGCGCACTTGCAAATTTGCGGAGCAGGCTGACTGGGCCTGGAGATCGACGTGTGAATACGCCAGAGGTGAGAGGAACTTACCTTGTATAAGCAGAGTATGCGTCGCAGGCGGTCGACAATGAGGTCACTGTCTCTTGATCGTACAATTGGTCCCGCACGTCGTCGCTGGTGAGGTGGGGTCGCAGGAGCGGAGGTGAGAGCGTGGGAAATTTTATATAGGCAGGCGCGAGGCAGTGGACCCTGCACCAACGACAACAAACAGACGAAGCGAGACCGGGTAGGAGCCGAGTGATACAATGGAAGACGATGGAAACAGTGAGAGAATCGCGATGATGACGCTAGCATGCATAACGGGTACCTGCGCAAGAAACGACAGGGCGCCGGGAAACCTTCCGGTGAGAGATCATCGTGGAGTCCAGTAGACGTAGAGAGTGATGGATAGGTGAGTATGAAAAAGAGACTATTAGCGCTTAAAGGCAGTCCTTGCACCATAGAATTATGAGCGTTGACCTGGCTATGCACAACAGAAAAAGACAAAAGATAGCTGTACTGGACATTGAGCTCAAGCACCTGCAGGCATCCCGTCTTCGACTTCCACCTCCTCTTCCGCTCTTTGACCCTCACTCTTTTCCGGCTCTTTCCAACCTGTACCGGCCTGTACAAGCACGACGATGACGGAGAGCCCTACGGCACAAAGGAACAATGCCTTGAGTGCATCCGCGTATGCCCCGACGGCGACGACCCTGTCTTTGCCTTCCAGCTTACCTACAAGTGCCGGACTCCCTAGTAGTCTCCGAGTGAGCTCACCGCGATTCTTCAACCCAGCCTGCGCAAAACCGTCATCCAGAGATCTGTGCAGTACGCGAACGAAGTAGCCACCACCAATGGCCGAACCGAAAGAGCCTGAAAAGCCGCGAAACGTAGCAAGGAGAGAGATGACGATCGGGTGCACCTCCGGGAGTGTAAGATGGAGCAGATGGACAAGTGCGTAGTTCGTTGCCGCGCCAGTAACAAGTCCGTTGAGGAACACCATGGCAACATATAGGCCCCACGGACTTGTTGGTGTAGAAATGAGAGCCAGGACAGCCATAGTGATTGGAAACAGTGCCATCGCAACGACGGTATGAAGGTAGAAGCTGCCCGTGCGTTTGATATGGAAGACGCCAGCAAGAAGACCACCGGTTGCAAAGCCGGCGTTGGTGGGAATGAGGATTGATCCAGCGACAGCCGGAGCCCAGCCACGAACGGCAAGCGCATATACGGGCGTATAGAAGAGGATACTCCATCGGGCCATCATGAAGCCAGTCGTGGCAAGGCAGGTCAACAGGGTTCCACGAGATCGTAGAACGGAGACTGGAATGACGGGATCGCCAGCGACGTAGGCCTCGTTTAGAACGAATACTGGAAGGGCAAGAGCCGATAAAATGATCGGCGTTGGAAGAACCTTTGGACCAGATAAGCCAAGAAGGAAGAGTACAATGGTGGTGGTCAAGAGCAGAGCTCCGGAGTAGTCGATGCGGGCTAGCTTTTCGCGGATCGAGAGATTTTCATACTTGATGTTCTTTGAAGTATGGCTGGCTGGAATTGAAAAGAGGAGACCCAATCCGGCCACAAAGCTTATTGGTGCCTGGATGCCAAACAATGGTTTCTGTGGTTGTGTCAGTTGAGCTCACTAGATCTCGTCATCTGATAGTGTCCACTTACCCATCCAATTCTAGGCTCAAGCGCGCCCGCTATGACCGCTCCAAGTGAGACACCGACTGTCATTGCAGTGTTT